TTCTTAATTGGCTGTATGCTACCAATAGCAGTCTTCCTTGTCAAAACAATGTTATGTTTTGTGTTTGGTTTCAAGCCACATTGCTACATAAGGCACTTTACCGGACTGGATTTCCAGAAGCCCTTCCCTTAGTCCTCGCTGCTATAACTGGGCACAACTCTCTTCAGGCTCAAACAAAACTAAAGGCTCACTTGGGTTGAGGTGGGACTTTACACTTTACCTAGGTGGTATTACTTGCAGGGACTATAGTGCCTTTGTAACCCACTCCTAAGCGTCCCAGAACGGTGTTCTCTTGGCATGTCTGAATGAAATGTACAGTTCCTTGTCCTTCATCAAACATATAAACAGTGCTCCCCCAAGTAGCTTAGCTAAGTTTGAAGCAACATTCTCTGGACTCTATTGAAACAGCACCTCCATTACATCAAAGCCAATGAGAGGTGTGTCTAAGGGTGCTGAGCTGACTAGAAATGTCACATTTATAGAAACTCTGGATCTTTGTTGCCTTAAGTTGACTGTTAAGTTGACTGTTAATATTAGCCACCCATCAAATGGCAGACATTCCCCACTACCTGAATAGATCTTTGGCACTTTTCCGTCATCTATTAACCCCATAGGCTTTGATATCAGCCAGACATTAACATCTAGAATGTACTTATTTCTCCTAGCCCTGTCTATCAAGCTAACCTGAGCTCCAGTATCTACAAGAGTAGTAACAGTTAAACCATTAAGGAGACATTTAGTCGTTGCTTTCCTCCCTATTAATCTCACTATCTGCTCTTTATTACCTACTGTGGCTTTGGGTGTCTCCTTCCTGTTATTTTTTAGTCTTTGTTTCTTGGCTTTGGTCTGGTTCACCTTTGTCTTGTGTTCAGGTGTAGTCTCTGTGTGTGAATACACATTAGTGTGTCACAATAGGCTTAAAACTTTCCTTTTGACAAAGCTTATTTTTTGAGTGGCTCAGATATCCTGAGTTAAAAACATGCTGCTATGGTCTCAGGCTGCTGGAGGACATAGGACCACTTTTCTTAATTCTATCTATATTCTCCATTTCTGCAGTATATTTTACCTCACCCCTAGCTTTATCTCCTCTCTGCTTTTTCTCCTCAAAGCAGCTTTATCTGGTCTTTTCCTGCTCGGCTATGACATAATCCTAGCGATTACTAATGTCTGTAAGCTTTTACTGTGACTAACTGTATGTGCTCTTTACATCCTTTTTGGCATTAAAACTGGCTCAGAGCTCGTCTGCTTAACAGTTAATCTCCTAGACAAAGCCACCTAAGGAGCAAGTTTAGTGTTACTTTTTATAACATAAAAAGTATTTATGGATTAGTGCTACTAATAAACTTGTCATCATAAGTCTGATGTCATCACCCTAAGCACAGGCTCACTCTGATGACACATGACCACGTCTCCAGATTCACCGTCCAGCACATCATGAAGTTTGCAGACAACACTACGGTGGTGGGCCTGATCAGAGACGACAACAGCCCGCCCTACAGAGAGGAGGTGGAGCAGCTGGTGGGCTGATGTAGAAACAACAGCCTGATCCTGAACGGTGATACTCTCTTTTGTAAAGATGAAAGAGAATATAATCCGATTCAAGAAGAACTTGCCTAACCACACTCCGTCGCTCATCAACAGCTCAGCTGTAGAGGTAGTCAGCAGTGCCAAATTCCTGGGAGGGGACATCACAGACCTCATCTGAACTATGAACAGCACCTCACAATGCAGAAGCATTTCCTGTGTAGGAAGAGCAGAGCCCAACTGCCCCCACCCATCTTCATGACCTTCTACAGAAGCACCATAGAGAGCATTCTGATCAGCTGTCTCACTGTGTGGTGTGGAGGCTGCAGCGCCTCAGACTGGAAGAACGTCAGGAGAGTAGTGAGAACAGCAGAGAGGATCATTGGGGCTCCTCTTCCCTCAATTAAATATTTAATAAATACATTTCATCTCTGTGTCCCGAGCTCGTTATATCAGTGACGCCTCACACCCCCACCATGAACTGTTCTCCTTGCTGCAACAGTTTTATCCCCACTAACCTCAGACAGTTGAATTGCTAAACTCTAAACTGGGCTCTGCATCACATTATTTTGCATTAGCAATGTTGCTGAACTTTTATAATCCTTTTAAATAGAACACATATGATGCATTTTGCACCATATGTATTTGGCACTGTACTGTACTTTTTCATAATAATGCCCTTTTGCACCATTGTTCTAAATTGGTTTCTTTTCACCTACATTGTTAAATTTTGATCACTGCTCGCAACATTACAAGAATAATATTAGAGCAGCATAATGCATACAACATATGCATTTTGTTGTAAGCTGTATGAAATGAAATTTTGTTTTTTTACACTGTGCATACAAAACGACAATATAGTTTGTCTAAGTCTAAACTAAATAATAAAGCAGAGACTGTAATAAATGTGTTCTGAAAAGTAATCTATATGCAAAATGCGTTAAATGTGTTTATTCCTTTGCGTGGGAATTCTGATTAAGGTTGGTCACTTTTGTGGTCTGATCAGTAACCACCTATTATATTAGCCATATTAGCACATGGATAATAAAATTAGGTCAAAAGCAATTTCATGGTCACTTCTTACATTTCTAATTTAGCAGCTGTTTCATTAACACCATGCTGCTTATAACTTTTAATTCAAATAAAACCTCTGCAGATAGAAACAGTCAAAATTAAAAACTAAAAAGCTTTCATTATTTCACGTTGACCTTTTAGAGAAACTCGGTCATGCATCATGCAGCATAATATCCGTTTCGATCCTGTTTGATTTTTGAAGTTAATGGATTACAAAATGATAAACAAAACTGAGATTTGCCCTTATGTCTTTGTCATCATGACGTAGGGAAAAAATGTACCACCGATTGTATATTCCCTGGTATCAGGCCAAAACCAGAATTACAGATGATTTGCATTTAGCACCTGTAGAAGTTTACTGAAACCATTAGAGGTTGATTATTGTCCCCATTTTCTGGGACACTGTCTAAAACTGTCTTTAAAGGGAACATTTACAAGGACCATAAAGCGGTGCGTCATTCACTGTTTCCACATCGGTTTGTGGATCTGGCCTATCGAAGGTCACTCTCAGTTAACTGTATGAACTTTCAGCTTCAAACCAGCTCCACCTGCATCATCCTGCCTGATAATAAAGACATTTTGCACACGTTTCTTCACTAGCAGCTTTACTGAATGAAAATCTACCCTATATTAGATAATACAGTTATATTCATACTTACAAGGAAATGTAAATAAATTACAAATATACTGTATAATGTTTGTCAATCAAGTTTATGTCATAGTTAGCATTAACTTCCTTTTAATTAACACGGTAACTCCCTTTATTTTGTAGAACCATAAGATCTTTGATGGACAATCTTTCCCGTTGCCTTCATGAACCCCTCAAGAGACAGCAGAGCTGCGACTCAGTGTCCTCCTCTGTCATCATCGGGTGTGCTTTATATTTGCAAATGTGAAGATTTTACATGGTCATTTTTAAGGGGAGTTGATGGCCTGGTGGACACACCAGTGCGCTTGTGCTCTGAGAAGGTTGCAAGTACTCGGGTTCGATCCCCACAACCTGCTCTCTGGGTTCCTGAGCAAGACCCTTAACCCTGCACAGTGGAAGCTCACTGCTGCCCAAGGGGATGGGTTAAATGCAGAGGTGTTGTTTCTCCAGTGTGAGATCTTTTCCCCCCCCCTTTTTTTAAACAGATTTTTCCTTTTTTTTGGCAACAGATCTGTTGAGAGTTCAATGGTAAATGGACTATAGTTAGAAAGTCATGGGAAAAAATGTAGTTACACTCTTTGCTTTTAATGCACGTGGAACCAGTTTTAGCAGCAAAAGCTGAATCTATATAAATTATACAAATTTATCACAGCAGTGTGGATCGTTTATTTAGAAATCAGACTTTTTTTTTTTTTTGCAAATCTTATTTTAAAAAAGAGTATCAGTTTTTCAATCGGATTGACACATTGACTAGACCAGTGCAAGACTTTGACTCCCCTTCAAACCTTCTAATGTAGATTTGTTCTGGTTTAAGATTTTCTTTTGACTAAACTTTTGTCAAACCTAACCTGCCCAACACATGGCCTAATATTTTTCATGATCCTTCTGAAATTTCTCATTTTTCACCTAAAATTTTTAATACTTAGTAGTTGTTTTTTTTAAAATAACATTTAGTCAAGTATGTAACTATTATGTCTTTTGTCAACTTATTTACACACAAATTTTCCGACTGTTGGATAAAGAAGGCATTTCAAAAACCATCAGTCCTCCACAGTTGTGCTCAACAGCTGGTTTAAGTAGTTTGTGCTAACAATTATCCTTTTTTTTATCCTAACTACTGTCATGCACAAAGTGCTTCTTGCAAAAGGCTAATTTACAACTAGTAAATTTATGTTTTTTTTTTACCTCAAGCATTTAAACACAAAAAAAACATGAAATGCTGAAAAATAGATGTTTTTATGAACAGTTATATTTTGTAATATTGATAAAATCATGAATTTATTGGTTAACAAACTTAGAATATGACTTTTATAGACTGATAATGCAGATTACCCTCACCACAACTGCCAACATTGGTAAGTTTTTGTTATTTATTTAAGTGGAGGGAGCCGCCGAAAACATAGAAATGCATTTGACTTTACAATATGGATAAATCTAAATGAATGCAGCGTAAAGTAGCCTGGATAAGCGCTGAGTTTAAGTCACAAGACAATATTTCTTGAATTTGTTTTTACAATGTTTCAAAGAAACCAAAATGTATTTCTTAAATGTCTTAGCGACGTCTTTATTCCTTTCATGATTAGCCTTAATGAACTCTCAAAGAGCAAACTCATCAGAGGGAAAACGTAGCTGACAGCAGCTCCTGTGATGCATTAACCATTATCAATCAGGTTGCGTATTTTTTTTTTCTCTGTACAATCCTGCTGACTTTGCATAATGCAACACAGAAAGCAATGAGCTACTGATAACTGCAGTTTAGGTGCCAGATGTAACAGTAAATACCTCAGCAACCCTTCCAAGGACAGTCAGAAGGAGCAGGGGACTGGGAGGGAGAGAGTCAGTAACTGTGTGCAAAGAAAAGGTTGTTTCAGAAAAGGACACTGCAGCTGGAGAGTTTACAAAAGAAACAAGTGGTTATCAAAGTGAGATTTAGAAGCTACATTTTTGAATATTGTTTCCAGTGAAGTTTACGAAAAGAGCCACCATGAAGTTCAAATTACCAAACCCGGGACTGGATGATAGAATCCCTTCGCACGCTGACCTGGAGAGGATGGAGAAGGAAGAGGCTGGGGATAGACCCCAGTGGGACAACAAAGCCCAGTATCTGCTCACCTGTGTGGGCTTCTGTGTGGGACTCGGGAACGTCTGGAGGTTCCCATACCTCTGTCAAAGTCACGGTGGAGGTAAGAGATGAGTCGTAAGATCAATATTTTGGCAGAACTACAATAAAGTTTCCCTTCATGGGGAAATTTTATGTATTATGAATTAGATATCAATTAAACAGTAATTCTGAATTATTTTAACACCTTTATTATAAGATTTATAGTTTCTTAGGTGTATCATGTTTTTGTGGAACAAAATAATTACATATTAAAGTCAGAAAACTCTGCCCTTTTTTTTCTAAATGAATGTGCATCATAAATCTATTTAAACTAAAATAAATCATTGAGTGCATTTCTTCCTTCAGAAAAAGAATGTAAATCATCATTTCTAAAATGAATTTTAACGTTTCGTATGCTTGTACACCTTATGGCTTTTTTTTTATAGTGTTTCCCGTTTGTGCGCCCGACTGCTAATAATTTACTTTCTCTTGTTAAAATGCAACAAATTTTGAAATGCTAATTAGAAACATACAAAATGTGAATGTTTTACTTCCAGGAGCGTTTATGATTCCATTCCTCATCCTTCTGGTTTTGGAGGGAATCCCGCTGCTGCACTTAGAGTTTGCCATCGGTCAGCGGCTGAGGAAGGGCAGCGTGGGCGTATGGAGATCCATCAACCCTTACCTGGCAGGAGTTGGTGGGTATAAATAAACTAATAAAGCAACGGTTAACACTTGATGCTGTGCTTATTTTCAGTTAACAGCACCTGAATATAAGCACCTTTTAAAATCCCTACTTTATATTTTTTCATTTATTACTTAATCAATATTCTTAAGCAATTTATATCAACTTATTTTCCTTACTAGTTTATTGTTTCTGATTATTAAGTGGATGAATGATTGTATACATGCTAAAATCTCAAGTATAATTTTATATAATGGTAGATTGATTTTAGAGCCTTATAATAAAGTTTCATTAATTGTTATTTTTAACATGATTGGGTCCACATTACCCTAATTAAATAAGATCACTCGCTCTTATAGAGAAAAAAAAGTAAAATCTGAACTTCCAAATTTTCTTTTTCATAGTAATCAGTAAAGCAGTGGTTACCAAAGCGGGTATACAACTTTTCCTGTTTGAGGAAATAACGCCTGGTTAGTAAGAAACGATGGACGGACGAATATGGACATATGGATGGATAATTGCTGGCCCTACTTTTATCCAGTAAAATAATAATTCTACCTCAGTAGATTCTTTGAACTATGTTTTTAAATTTGCCATAAATGAAAGAGATGCTAAAATATTTACTTGATAAGGAATACTTTTTTTCCCTGCAGCTCCAGAGCTCTGCACACTTTTACCATGATGGGTTAAAATGGTGGCTAGTGTAACCCTCACTATATACTGTTGTGATTCCTTTCTCTTTAATCTGTTTCAGGTATTGCCTCCATGCTTGTATCGTTTTTGGTCGGGGTGTACTACAACACCATTATGGCCTGGATCATGTGGTATCTCTTCAACTCCTTTCAGGATCCTCTGCCCTGGAGCCAGTGTCCACTCAATGCTAACAAGACAGGTAGGGCTTGATGTAGAGGAGCCATTTGCTTTTATGGCTCGGGGTAAAACATTTCCATCCTAGTTTGTTGACACTTGTTTTCCATCCGACTGATCATGAATTTTATCGACCCATTTAAGGATATGTGGAGGAGTGCTCACGAAGCACCACTACTGACTACTTCTGGTACAGAGAAACTCTGAACACTTCAACAGCTATTGATGAGTCTGGAGGTCTGCAGTGGTGGATAGTTTTGGCTCTCATAGCTGCGTGGACTGTGCTCTATGTTTGCTGCATCAGGGGCATTGAGACTACTGGCAAGGTCTGAAGGCCATATTAAGTCTGACAAATTTGCTGTAGTGATTCCATTATCATTGTTCAAACAACCATAATCTACATGTTGACCATTCTCTTTTAAGGCTGTGTACATCACCTCCACTCTGCCATATCTCGTCCTCACCATCTTTCTGATCAGGGGACTGACCCTAAAAGGCTCTACCGATGGAATTAAGTACCTCTTCACGCCTAATGTAAGCAATGTCATAACTTATTAATAGAAAAAGACGTTGACCGTTCCTTGAAAATCTGCTGACTGACTTTCTCTCAAGGAAATAGTTGTCCTCATTGCGTTGCTGAATCTCCCTTTTGGCAATGCTTGCATTCTCTTTGGCCAAAGGTCTTTTTTACTGGTCTAAAGTTCTTTACTAAAATCTTAGAGTTATTTTAGTTTGTTTTTTTTGCCCCGTGTCCTTGTAAAATGCTGGTAAATTATTGGGTAAACAGTGCCCTAATTTTTTACTTTGAGATGATCTGCTTGTTACAGTTAACACTTAATTCTCTTTCCATGGACATTGGAATAAACCAGGGAAGAATTTGGGCTTTGATTCTGGCAGCTACTTTACTGTTGGCATCCCAATGTCTAATCCTTATTTTGCCATTTTGTCCCAAACTCCTACTATTTCACAAGCATAAAATTCCCACCTATGTACAGTACTTAGCTAAATATACAGTAGTTGATTATGTAGAGAAACTTGCACAGTAGGTAAGCTTAAATCGCAGGAATATAATCTTAATTAAGTTAAGTTAATTCTAGGTTATTTTTTTAAGATTTAAAATATGACATATTTCCTTTGGGCTTTTAATCCACAGGTGAATTAATCATTCCTTATTTTTTGTAGTCTATTTGGATAAATGGAAGGGGAAAAAAAACACATAACAACTGAATGAAATGTTAATAAATGAAAGTTTAGTCATGGAAAGTTGTTTTTTTATTTATTGTCCCACTGATTAAAGATTTTTGAAGTATTATGATCCCTGAACAGAAAAGTAGCCAATAGTAGTTTAGTAAAGTGGGTGAAGGTTGGGAAAAACTCAAACTAATTTCTTTTAAATATATATATATATAAAATATTATGTGCCAGGAAGATTTAAATAGGAAAGAGAAAAATGGCTGACACTCTACCACCTGTAATTTTAGAGGGTGTTTTCTCCTAATTTCTAGCAAGCCTGTTTTGTTTTCATGCTTGTCAATACCTAATACATGAATGTACATGGCTGGTTGATTTAAAAAATATCCCTATGGAGAAGTAGAGAATAAAAAGTAACATTATAAGGAAGGTCTCCGTTAAATATTGTAATAATGTTTTGCTTCAGACTCCTAAGTAGAAAGAAAAGGACATCACTAATGAGTTGACTATTGTTATTCACGAGTAGCTAAACCAAAATTGGCAATGCAACCTGATAACATATTTGAGAGATATGGGTAAAAAGATAACTGACTTAGCTGCTTACATGTGTACTATAAATACCTTTAGATGGCCATATTGGATTTTATACTTGAAGATGGAGCTTGTGTTTGACAAGAAATAAATATGAATATTTCAGGCACCAAGTTCAAACTTAAAACAGCATTCAGTTAATCTACATGCCTGAAAAGAAGAAATTCCCAGCATATTTTATGAGTTATTTCAATACATATGTATGAGTTTAAACAGATACAGGTTGCCAGCTGCAACCTTATATTTGCAAAATGACCATAAAAAGGCTGTTGATCTTATCTTATTCCTGGAAATAGACTCTATTTTCATCATGTCTATTTTTGCCTTTACCATAGGATAATCTGAATGTACGGTAAAAGGTCCTAGGGTAGTTGAAAAGATAAGATAACTGGTATAAGATAAAAACCTAAGATAAAGGTAAACATAAAGGTTTTAACAAACTTCATTCCAAAACTGATCAAAGCTGATAAAGTGCACATTGTTTTTAAAGATTTACCCATCTGTACATGTTGTAAGATAAACCAATATATTGGTAATTACCTGGTGATTTCCACCATAAGCCTTTCATATCTCTGCAGTCTTGATTGCTCTACCAAGGGAGATTTCTTACTAAGTGTGTATCGAATTGAATCCATTTTGGGACATTTCATTCCCGTTTTGACAACCAGAAATTTTAAGTAATTTTTTCATATGTACTCATAATATGCAGAACGTTAATTCCAACAGAATAAAATCTACCTTTAATAGGTTGGCTTGATACTCATTTCATTAGAGTGTAATGGCCCCCAAATGATTTGGCATCAGAGTGAAATGAAATCATAAAATAGAGTTCAATGTTTTATAAAATGAAATGCAATACAGTTAAAATACAAATTAAATTTATTACTATTTAGTTCACAATTATTAAAAAGATAATTCACCTCAAAGGTGAGAACATATGTCAAAAAATGTAAATATGAGAGGAAAAAATGGCAGCTTATGCATTTGAGATGGGTCTACAAATCAGCAAAATGAAGTCAATTAGGAAGAAATGCTGCTAATGCTATTTAGCAAATGCATACACTGGTAAAACTTATCTGTGAACAATGATGCTCCAATAACAAAGGCAGAGTTTGCATTTTACATTCTAAGATTCTGATCTTGGGAAGGTTTACGTGTCTTTAATCATAGTCATCTTCCACTTTAACGGGGACCGGGCTGCAGTCTCAGCGGTCACAGCAGAGACTCCAAGACTTTGGTATCCCCAGACACCTCCTCCCGCTCTGTTGGGGGATGCCTGAGCCCAGCTGAGAGACATTGTCCCTCCTTTGTATCCTGGGTCGTCCCCTGGGCCTCCTCCCGTTGGACAAGCCTGGAACACCTCCTACGTGAGGCGTCCAGGGGGAATCCGAAAAAGATGTCCGAGTCACCTCAGCTGACTGCACTCGATGTGACGCGGCTCTTCTCCAAACCTCTCCTGAAAGGAGTCACCCTGAGGAGAACTTTTATCAGCTTGTTTTAGATGCATTTCAGCGGCTTATATCGGGCAACACTGTTCTTTCTGTCATGATCCAGATTTCATGACCATAGTTGAGGGTAGGAACGTAGACCTACTGGTAAATCAAGAACTTTGCCTTTGCTTCAGCACGACAGGCTGGTGCAGGTCTACATTATAGTAGTAGACGCATTGATCCTTCTATCGATCTCCCACTCCATTCTCCCCTCACTATTGAACAGGACAACATACTTAAACTCCTGCAACTGTTTTTGGCATTTACTTAATCATATTTGGTTATTTTTACAGTTTTTTAATGTTAACAACATTTTTAATGTTAACTAAATATGATTGAGTAGGTGCCAAAAACTTTGCATTATTTATTTCAGCAGGACCTCTCCTCCAATCTGAATGTGACAACCAACTTTTCCATACGTGTCTTTAAACCGGTGCAAACGTGTTTGTTCTACCAGAACAAATCTTCAAAGAAGGTGCAAAGTGATTTGCCAAAGCAAGCATAAACCTTTTTTTTTGCCTGTGTTCCTTCATCACTATACAGGACTTATTTTAATGACCAAACTGCTCAATTTAATGGACGGGGGATATACCTATTTAAACAGTTACCATGTGCAAAGTGTCTCACAAAAACATTTACCAGGAGAGCATAAAGTTTGTATGCAATTAAACATTTTTAATATGTATATAAAAGCAATAGAATATTAGAAAAGACTGCAAAGGAGGAGAGGGGTGAAAGTGCTCAACAGGGATTTTTTTTTTTTTTTACTCCCTTGATTCAATAATGCACAGTTCTCTTTTTTACACTTACACCTGTTTTAAGATTTCTTTTTTATATATATTTAACTTTTGTTATTTTTATCATTTATGTTTTTGTTTTGTTCTTAGCTCTATATATGCTATCTGTGTACGGTGTTCTAAAATATTTACCACAATAATAGCTATTTTCTAAATATTTTCCTTAACTTTTACCCCAACTACGTGACTTAGAACATCATCTTTCTATCAGCTCACTGTAGAACAGGCAAGCTGCTCATTTAAATGGGAGGAAACAAAACGGTTTGCACGTCTTTAACGTTTCCAAGCAATCTTTGTAGATTACCTGAGCCACACCCACTTATTGCACATAGTAAAACTAATTAGAGTGCGCAATAGTACTTTTGAATCTTTGAACATTAGGTTGGAAATGATAGTTGTTTTTAATAATAATCAGTTTTTTTTCCCCAGGTAGATGAGTTAATGAACCCTGCAACATGGCTGGATGCAGGAGCCCAGGTATTCTACTCCTTTTCCCTGGCTTTTGGTGGTCTCATCTCTTTCTCCAGTTACAACTCGGTGCAGTAAGTGAGTTTTTGGGTGCATAAAAACAAGGAGGCAGCCTGTTCTCCAGCACCAATGTACAGAACTTACCTCACAATTTGCTTTTTAGCAACAACTGTGAAATGGATGCTGTTCTCATCTCCATCATCAACGGCTGCACCTCCGTGTACTCAGCAACGGTCATCTACTCCATCATTGGCTTCAGGGCCACACAGAAATTCGACGACTGCACGGGACAGTAAGTTCAATATTTCAAAGCTAATATTCCCTGATTTGTATGGAACTCAATTGATACTAAACATGTTTACAGGAATATCTTGAAGCTCATGAATGCCTTTAACTACCCTGAGAACAACATCACAGAAAATAACTACGACACAGTTCTGACTCATCTAAATAATACAAACCCTGATATCATCCAAGGATTAAACTTACAGACCTGCGATATGCAGAAATTCCTCAGTCAGGTCAGAAAACGTTGGTAATTCTTCATTTTATTCAAAAACATGACAGAGTGGTATTCATAGCTGATTAATTGGGGCCTGCATTACTTAGGGTGTGGAAGGAACAGGACTGGCCTTCATCGTGTTCACAGAAGCTATCATAAAGATGCCAGTTTCTCCTCTTTGGGCCGTTCTTTTCTTCGTCATGCTCTTCTGTCTTGGCCTCTCAACAATGTTTGGAAGCATTGAGGGCGTTATAGCTCCTCTGCTGGACCTTAAACTGCTACCCAGAACTTGGCCCAAAGAAGTCATCAGTGGTAATTTTCTTTTATTTTTATTTTTTCTAAACATTATAAATAAAATTTTCTCCATGTATCCAATGACAATAGGGTAACAAATTGCATTTTGTTTTTAGGTCTCACATGCCTGGTATCTTTGGCTCTTGGACTTATATTTGCCCTTCAATCTGGGAACTACTGGTTGGCTCTGTTTGACAACTTTGCAGGCTCCATTCCCCTTCTGGTTATTGGATTTTTTGAAATGATTGCAGTTGTCTACATCTATGGCATGGATAGGTGAGTCACATAATAGTTTTTTTCTCACGTAGCCAGAACCTTTAACCTTAATTTGGGTGCTTAAACTAGTGAAGTAGTTGTAGTCATAATAAAGCTGAGTAATGCATAACCATTTTATAAAATGTTATGCCATTTCAACTGATAGTTTGTATTTCTGGTGAGAAACCATTAACTTCACTTTACCTAGAGTTAAACATCCCTTTTCATAAAACCCCCCTGAATACATCAAGTCAAAGCCTTATTAGCTGGCTATATGGAAATAGGTGTGTCCAGTGCTGCAACTCCATGAGCAAGGGTTCCATTACCATCAATGATTTCAGAGTTTCAGCATAGCAGTGTCTATAAGAGCAATGTGGTTTTCCCATTGTGGACATCTCAGATATCAAATGGAGAAAATCACTGAGGTGCTTCTGGTTCTTAAGCTTATTTTACATTAATAATGGGCTAAGATCATCATTGCTACATTTATAGCAAAAAACTATTGAGCTTTTGGGATATGATAGGCTACAAATCCTTTATCTACGGTCAATAATTTGGACCAGAGTGAAATATCGGCTCATGTCAAAAGCATAATTTATTTACTATTTAAAATAATTAGAGTTTAAATGTATGTCAATGTATATTTATGGTTCAGAAAGTCAAATTTTTTACTTAATACAAATGAGAAGGAATCGGTTTAAATCAAAGTTTGAGTTCAACTGATAAATACAGCTGTAAGAACTTGGTGTTAATTTATTTTCAAAGTGGTTCAATGTAACATTTATTTAGTCTAGGCTTATTTATGTTGATCCATTTCAGGCAGCAGTCTTAACAAGCCTTGATTCTTCTAAAAGAACAGTAAGGGAATTACCAAATGGGTTTGGTAAGCAGGGAAAAAGAAGCAGAACAGAAAAAATAATGGTAGTAATAGCATTAATGACATATCTAGTTAATGTGTTACTATAAGGAACTATTGTTTAGCATATATTAGATTTGAATGAAGTGACATATTGAGGCAAATTTCTCTGAGTGAATGTTTACAATGAGAGAGACAAGAGAACATTTCTATAAAGTGAGGAACATGTGTATTGAACATAAAAAGTCAGGACATAGCAACAAAAATTGCCACTCAGCTAAACTTACCCGCTTCTCCAGCCATGGCAAGGGATTAAAAAGGCTACAGTACAACAACTAGAGAAATGACAAACATGTCTGGGCAAGCCCTTAACTTATCTTTATTTCTAAAGATCACTGACAGCATTTTTATAGTGTTAGATTATGCTTCTCCAATTTGTGATTCATTCATTGTAAGTCTGTTAAGCCTCTTTCCCACTGAAAATACCACGTTGATCTGGGTTTTTCTAACATGGGTCAACCCGCTAACAATCGGCATTTGGCTCCCTTCCCACTGGCAAAAAAAGTCGTGTCTAACACCTACATGGCACGCTGCGTGGTCTCTGTCCCCCTGCTGTGTGTCTGATGACACCATCACGTTAGGTTAGCTTTCATGATGTCACCCGTGTGACAGAAATCAGGAAAGTAAACAATGGAGATCAACATGTAAGGAAGCCAGGGCATAATAAGTGTGCTTTATTGTTTCGCTGTTTATTCTGTCCGAATCCCTCTTACTGCACCATGTTTATCGAATGTAAACGGAGGTGTTTAAGCTTGTTATATCAGAAGTGAGTAGCGTGTTGACACCCGTACGTTGCGTTCAGTAGTGTGATGTAATTTAGTGGATCAATCCGTGTCTGGTTTTCCCACAGCCTGCCAATCAGAGCCGAGGCGATTTTAATGCGGGTCGTTTGACCCAGGTAGAGATGTGTCGGTGAGCTGTTCCCACTGCCACCAAATGCCACTTGTTCCCGGGTTTTACTGGTTTTTCGGCCGGTGGGAAAGGAGTACATGAGGTTTATATAACCAGGTATCTTCTTCGACAAGTAAGCCATTGTGGGTTTAATATATTTTTGTTAGACTTAAGCCAGAGATGAGGTGAAAATTTAATGTTCTTAAGATGGTGCAGTACGCACAAACACACTCACAGCGGATGGGTTAAGCTCTAATTTGACCAACCAATCACATTGTAATTTTGGATATTTAGATGTTGTGGTATTTTTAAGTCTTGCAGAGAACAACAAAGCCCTGTGTAGAAGCTGGTATCTTTTAATGAACCCCCGACTGATATATATATTATAGGCGCTCTTATTTTCAAATGAGAAGGGAAACAGTGGAGCAGTTGTAATGACAGAATAGGCAGAAAAAAGATGATATTAGGTGTATTCGAACATACTTACAAAATAATGAAAACAGCTTGTTAGGACTTTAAAACCTTTTCTCTGGGTTATTGGTCCTTAGAAAAATTACCAGTGATATTTTGAACGCTCCATTTCCATTCAATCTGGACTGCGTTATATAATAGACTAAATTTCTTATTCTGTTTGTAAGAATGTATAGGGAGAAATAGGAACATGAATTGGATTATTCTACTCTGATTACAGAATCATCAAAACAGTTTTTGCGATTTGCAAAACAGTTTTTTTGCCAAAATTTAAAGTGCTTGATCTACTTAACTGTTGACCATGAGGCTTGTTGGCTGTACATTTCCCTTTTCATTTTTTGCAGGGGGGGTCCTGTGAATGCCCACAGTGTATCATTTACATGGCCAAAGTTAAACGAGCTATTATAAAAGGGCAAAGACAGGTTCCAGACCAAACTGGTGTCTATCATTCAGTCAAAGGGTTTTACAGTTCAAACAAAGCAGGAAGTAGCATAGCGTCATTCTTCTCTCAAAGTGGTGATAATGTGTGAGAGTCAGCAGAGTACAGATAAGAAAAAGAACAGAACGTGTCTTGTGGCTATTTTGGGAATGTGGAAAATATGATTAGAGTTTTGTTTTGTCTCCTAAACCAGGCTATGAGGGGAGAAAATCTAAATTTGTAGCTGTAACAAAAAACATAATAAACATTTTACAATGTAATATCTTATGTTTTATTCATATACTAATATTGAACGAAAGGCTGATTGCATCAAATTTATCTGTTGAACAAATATTTAAACCCACGTTTTTCAAAGACATTTTATTGCATCAAACAATAAGATAATTTTTTATGATTTCCTATCCTCTCATCTTATTGCATTTCTGTGTTATTGCTTTGAAACAGGTTTAACAAGGACATGGAGTTCATGATTGGCCATAAACCCAACATCTTCTGGCAAGCAACGTGGAGAGTGATTAGCCCCGTCATCATGATTTTCATTCTGATTTTTTACTTTGTTACACAAGTCACCAAGAAATTCACCTATTTGGTCTGGGATGAGGAAGCGGTAAGTTCTGAGGCTTAAACGTTGCATGATAATAAACAACAACGATTCACATTTTCTTACCATTATTTGTGCTTATAGGCAAACACTGATTTGATCAATCTTATTGCCCCACAGGAGAACTTTCCTACCCTTGCTGAGCGCCCATACCCGTCATGGATCTCTGCCGTCATCTTTATCCTGGCTGGAATTCCCAGTTTAGCTATTCCCATCTTTGCCCTTTATAAGCTTATACAGAGAAAATGCTGCAAAAAGAAGGGTTACAACGATGACAGCGTGGACACAATATCTGCCAAAATTCAAATGAGTGACAAAATGAAGTTTTAGTTAAATGTTCTTATTTTGGATGTTTAATATCAATGAACTTTTAAATTATGTTTGACTTGGTGCTTTGTAATGATGCATCAATATGCTGATGACTGACTGTTATTTTTGAAAGGCAAAGTTAAAGATCTATACATACTCCACAAGAACAGAAATTTTTTTTTCTCCCTTCCAGGGCATCAAGATAAAAAGAACAAAGTTCTTTTAGGATGTGACACTTCGTACTTTAACAGAACTTTTGTACAAAACTATCTTAAAATTTCTTTGACACCACCCATGAAAAAAGAACTACAAAAACAGGGCTGCAAGATCACAGTGATGTCATTTTGGGTTTTCAGCCCTGGTAGAAGGTTTAAAAAAGTCCTTATTGGTTGTTGTTTTTGTTAGAAAGTATCATATATCGTGACATTTAATGACTGCAGTAGATTTACAGCAAAATAAAACATTGTTTATATGCAATTATAATGAGAGCTTGCATCAGAATATGTGTACATCATTAGGACATTGGAACATGGCCAGCATGGGTTTGTATGTAAAATTTTACCTGTTAGAATCTCTTTCTCTTCTTTTCATTTTAGCACCATTTGACGTATCTCTGTATATTAGCAAAGAGTAAACCTTAAATTAAGCCACTCAGGTTCCTATGCCTTTTGGGAACACTTGTTTTTGTGAGCTTTTTTTACATCCTGATTCACTAAAATTTTACAGTCTTTGCTTGCCTCCCATGTGAAAGTGGGTTTCTATGTTTTGCTTTTTTTGCATGTTGTAGCTCCAAGACAGAGCAACTGTTTGTCCGGAGTGAACCTGACCGTATTCGCATTGGCTGCTGGAATAATGAGCTTGTTGAATAGAACCAAGAACAGAATTATCCATTTGCAGAACATGTGTCGATGAATAACATCATTTTTTATTTTTCAGGTAATATTGCTTAGGGGACTAATAATTGAGAATCCTTAGAATAAAGAAAATCATCAACCAGTAAAGGTCTGGAGACATCTTTAATTATAATCTGTTACTTTAAATTGAATTTAACACTGAAATAAAATGAGGCTTTTAAGCATCCATGTTATACATCTAAAAAAAAAAAAAGAAGATTTTTCCATTTTAAAATCTAAAGTGTTTTTTGAAGCAGGGAACAACAATCATTAAGTTTGGTGTATAGACAATTTCCTGACTCATATATTTATAAAACACCTGAACTGACCGTTTGTTATTTGTTTTTCTTTTGGCTTAATGAGAGAAGTGGGCTTTACGCTGCCCTGCAAGGCAGACAAAGCCATTCTCAGGCACATATCAAGGTGATCATACATGAGCCTGGATTGATATTTATATCTGACTATGGTAATGGTGGGAAATCCTGCTTGACAGAAGCAGGTTGAGCCAAACATACTCAAAATGTGCAGGGTCATCTTTGAGCACACCATTTCACTTTTCTTTCACCAGTTCACCGCAGTTCTTCCAGCAGTCCACACTTTCTTTCACTTTTTCTCATCGTCTTCTCCTTCTTTCCTATTGCCCGGCATTTAAAGGTTTGCCTGCTGTGTCTAAAAGTGGCTCGCAGCAGTAACCCAGACTGACAGCAGCTCATTGGCTAATTTGTATCACGTGTAGCCTGGTGCTGGACCCTCTGGAGGGCTTTACCATATAAACAGGAGAAGCGGCGCAAGTGAAATTAGACACTGTCGTCGGACAACATGCGGTAATCAATAAATGCTTTTCAATCAGGTTGGGTCCGGATTAGTCAGCTGGTGGGTCCGGATCCGGACCACGGTCCACTAATCCGTGAAATATACAGTAGATGTTTGAAAAATTCCAGACACTATTTTTGATTCACCGCAGTTTACTGGACGAGTCCGAATTTGAGAATAAGAATCATACGTTTTGAAGTTTTTTAATAAAGGTCATCTTTAAAGTACATAAAAGTTAATTAATAACTAGCGTTGCACCGATACCGATACCAGTATCGGACGGGGCCCTGATACTGCCCTAAAATGGTGGTATCGGTATCGGTGAGTACCAACAAATAGGGCACCGATACCATTTTGAGAGCCATAAGTTTATTCAACTATTGTCACCCACTCCTGGTAGGCAATAAAAAGTTCTACTGGATTCACTTTGTATTAGATTTTTTCCTGCTTCACAAAGGTAGGCAGCAGCTTGACAAAGCCATGATGGCAATTATTTTATATTATTATGGTATCGGTATCGGCCGATACTGCACAGCCAGGTATCGGGTATCGGGGCCAAAATATGGCATTGGCGCAACACTATTAATAACCATGTTATAACATAGTAATAACATAGCATGTTACACTATATTACTAGGCACAAGAAAAACTTTATGGAAATTTTTTGTAAGTGCTGTGCTTCAAATTTTAGGCAGAAATGTAAAGTTAGACTTCTTAGATTTCAAAGAGTTATTAGTAGGCAAATCAGTCATTTCACTGACAGCAATACACTTATGTGTTATTATCTAGTAAAATCTAGTTTATTACTTCTCATACAACAGAAAAACAAACCTAGAAGACAGCAAGCCAATCTACTTAACTAAACTGTTATTTATATGTCACTTGAGCTCAATTTTTTAATACTTTATTTACCTGATCATCATAAGTCACAATTTACTTTGTAAGCCATAGGTGGTGGCCAATAATAGAAACTTATATGGTAACCTAATGGTAATTACTCACCAAAAGTCTCCATTGTTACATGGTAACATGCAGTTGTAATAATTTCATGCAGGTAATTACTTTGAAATTACATACCTTAATTTTAGGGTAATTACCAAATTTTTTTTTTCTTGTTACCTAGTAATATACACTTTCTATTTTATTACTATGTTTTTACATTGTTATTGATATGCTGTAAAAACATTACCGAAACACCTAGCTGTATGCATACTTTTGACTTTAAACTACTACAAAACGTATATTTTTTTTATTCTATTAAATGTCAATGAACATTATGTTGGTATAATGCAGTTCACCTATATATGAATGGAATTCTGTTTAAAAAAAAGAAATGCTGCCAATTAGTTGAACGGGAAATCTGAATTGGCTTCATCTTTATGAACATATCAAACTTTTTAAGCGGTTCATCTGCTACTCTAAAGGCTGCAAACGTAATTCCAACAATGTACAACAACAGCTGAACCTGACAGCAAAGTGATGTATATGAAATATTTCAAGTAAAATTTCAACCATTAATGATAAATTAAAAAATATACATTCTATACAAATACTCAAATATTATTCTTAAGCTAGTTTAGCTACATCTAAGTAATTAAGTAATCTGTTTTAATTATTTAATATATTGATAAATTATGTTTTAGGTAATGCATATTAGCAGAGGTATTGTTTTGTACCTGCAGCAAAATTAAATGTTAATGGAAGTATGCAAATAAGGTTAAAACACATTAAAAACAAAACTAAAATTGGACACTATAAAGTAAAACCTAATTTACACATTTACAATAAAAAAATACAGTGCAGCTGTTAGTTAAAGAGCATAATAAAGAAATTTAAACTAAGAGTTGAGTGGGGAACTGGTGGAACAGGGTTCCAGTAAAATGACTTAAATTGTATTTAAATTAGCACTCAATATACAGTGTATACATCTGTTTGGATTCAAATAAAAGCCATATATAATTTAAAACATCATAGTAGTTTTACTTCTTAAGGCTGTTTTTAGCAGTGGAAATAAAAAAAAAAAACATTTCTTTCATTAGAACATCATATTTAAACCTTAGACAAAGTATATGCAAAGACATTGTGTTTCAGTGTAAAATATGTATTTTTGAAAACCATGGTTCTTTTTGAGCAACTGGGATTATTTGCTTTAGGTAGAAACAACAAATAGACCAAAAATGTGGTCGTTGCGGGGCTGGCAAGATTCAGTCATCTCCAGTATTGGTAATAAAGCTAACAACACAGAAAATATTAGCTGTGGTGCTGTAACCCTTATGTTTACCTTTAATTGTGATTAAAGTAAAAATCAAAGTGTCCATGGGCACTGATTACGCTAGAAAAAATTGAAATCTGGATAAGTTTTCTTTGAATTAATGTGCACTTAAAATAAGAAAAAGAAAATTTCATTGTTTTATTTAAAGTGCATATTATCTGATTATCTTATTTCAACAGTAAAAATACTCATCCTGTTGGCAAACTCTCATTTACCTACTCAAATTAAGGGTAAATACACCTAATTTAAGAAAATATTACTATTTCTAGATCGTTTTTCCAGTATAAAATGGTGATTAATATTTAACAGAGAGAAACACATTAGCAACTTATTCATATTATTATTAGCTAAATATATAAATACTTATGTTATTTATTATCATTTAATCATTCGCATTGATAGATAGATAGATAGATAGATAGATAGATAGATAGATAGATAGATAGATAGATAGATAGATAGATAGATAGATAGATAGATAGATAGATAGATAGATAGATAGATAGATAGATAGATAGATAGATAGTTGCTCCCCATCGCTCCATCTGATTTTGACTTTATTTTTAGCTACAATAAAAGGTACTGTACCTCTTCAATTATTCACAAGCCTGAAAAAAACCTGAGTGGTCCTGAATAAATGCAAAGCCTTGCTGTTTGATTATCTGTTTCACGGAGCAAAGTAGTAAATGATCATAAATTTATGTCATGACCTCTGTAGGCTCCTGTGTAAATGTTAACGTGTGTACACCATGTCCTCACTACGTATAAGCCGTAGCATACACGGCGTCTGCGCTTCAGTGTTCACATCTCTTCACCATGAGACTGGTGATCCCCAACCCGGGATTAGAGCTTCGGATTCCAAACTATGAAGAGCTGGAGAGGATGGAAAAAGAGGAGGCAGGAGGGCGGCCCAAGTGGGACAACAAAGCCCAGTACATACTGACATGTGTAGGCTTCTGCATTGGTCTGGGGAATGTGTGGCGATTCCCCTACTTGTGTCAGAGTCATGGAGGAGGTAAGATGATACAGTAAATGAACCACATAATGATGCACTGAAATCTTAAAGCTTGTGAGATTCACTAATGGAATATTTTGCTCTTAAAGGCTATAAGACTAAGAAAATAAGCTTTATTTAATTTTTTATTTTATTTATTTATTCTTTAAAGACAGTAACTTCTCTCCTGAGCCTGCAGCCATGCAAACAGTTAATAAATCCCTCATGTAAAAAAAAGAAATGCTCATGCATTTTTCCTCAGAGTATATCAATGATTCTCTAATGTTCTCATGAAGAAACTCAGAATCATGTTTGAGACTTTGAACACATTACAGGTGCTGGTCATAAAATTACAATATCATGAAAAAGTAGATTGATTTGAGTAATTCCATTTAAAAAGTGAAACTTGTATATTATATTCATACATTACATACAAACTCATATATTTCAGATGTTTATTTTGTTTAATTTTGATGATTACAAATGACAACAAATGAAAATCTCAAATTCATCATATCAGAAAATTAGAATATTACTGAAGACCAATAAAAACAAAGGATTTATAGAAATGTTGGCCAACTGAAAAGTATGAACATGAAAAGTATGAGCATGTACAGCACTCAGTATTTAGTTGGGCCTCCTTTGGCCTGTATTACTGCAGCAATGCGGCGTGGCATGGAGTCGATCAGTCTGTGGCACTGCTCAGGTGTTATGATAGCCCAGGTTGCTCTAATAGTGGCTTTTAGCTCTTCTGAATTGTTGGGTCTGGTGTATTGCATCTTCTTCTTCACAATACCCCATAGATTTTCTATGGGGTTAAGGTCAGGAGAGTTTGCTGGCCAATTAAGAACAGGGATACCATGGTCCTTCAACCAGGTACTGGTAGCTTTGGCACTGTGTGCAGGTGCCAAGTCCTGTGGAAAATGAAATCTGCATCTCCAAAAAGTTGGTCAGCTGCAGGAAGCATGAAGTGCTCTAAAACTTCCTGGTATGTGGCTGCGTTGACCCTGGACCTCAGAAAACACAATGGACCAACACCAGCAGATGACATGGCACCCCAAACCATCACTGACTGTGGAAACTTTACACTGGACTTCAAGCAACGTGGATGAAGTGCCTCTCTTCTTTTCCTCCAGACTCTGGGACCTTGATTTCCAAAGGAAATGCAAAATTTACTTTCATCAGAGAACATGACTTTGGACCACTCACCAGCAGTCCAGTCCTGTTTCTCTTTAGCCCAGGCAAGACGCTTCTGACGCTGTCTGTGGTTCAAGAGTGGCTTGACACAAGGAATGCGACAGCAGAAACCCATGTCTTTCATACGTCTGTGTGTGGTGGTTCTTGAAGCACTCACTCCAGCTGCAGTCCACTCTTTGTGAATCTCCCCCACATTTTTGAAGGGGTTTTGTTTCACAATCCTCTCCAGGGTGCGGTTATCTCTCTTGCTTGTACACTTTTTTCGACCACATCTTTTCCTTCCCTTCGCCTCTCTATTAATGTGCTTGGACACTGAGCTCTGTGAACAGCCAGCCTCTTTAGCGATGACCTTTTGTGTCTTGCCCTCCTTGTGCAAGGTGTCGATGGTCGTCTTTTGGACAACTGTCAAGTCAGCAGTCTTCCCCATGATTGTGTAGCCTATAGAACTAGACTGAAAGACCATTTAAAGGCTTTTGCAGGTGGTTTGAGTTAATTAGCTGATTAGAGTGTGGCACCAGGGGCCATCAATTTTGAACCTTTTCACAATATTCTAATTTTCTGATATGATGAATTTGAGATTTTCATTTGTTGTCATTTGTAATCATCAAAATTAAACAAAATAAACATCTGAAATATATGAGTTTGTATGTAATGTATGAATATAATATACAAGTTTCACTTTTTAAATGGAATTACTGAAATCAATCTACTTTTTCATGATATTCTAATTTTATGACCAGCACCTGTAGTTTAGAGAATCCATTTGTGTTTCCATGTGTGTTTCAGCTGCATGTAAATTCAGCAACATTTTAAATGGGCACACATTAAAGTGTAATAAAGTGCTAAATGCATGTTTTAAAAGCATTCTCTATTGCATGTTTCAGGCTTGACTGAGCTAAGACTGTTCACTGCAAAAATGATTTGTAAATAAGTCAATATTTCTAACATTATGGGTGTATTTACCCTTAATTTGAGTAGATAAAAAAGATGATCTGCCAATGGATTGAATATTTTTACTTTTAAAATACTTTAAAAGTACTTTAAAATAATTTTTACTTATTTAAAATAAGATAATAAGATAGACACTTTGCATCCATTGGCAAAGTGTCTCACCTCCTCAATTCAAGAACAAATATTTTGTTCTTATTTTAAGAAAAAAATGACTTTAGATAACATTTTTTTCCAGTGTTGTATCTGATATATATATTTTTTTGTTTTTCATTACTAATGTGACAATTTCTAACAAAGACCAACAAGTGTTTTAAATTGGAACAATTAGTGGTATTGAATAAATATTTTCTCATTAAAAGAGGCACTTCAAAGAAATGAATCCTAACATTAACAACTAATCTTTATTGTTGTTAATGATTAGCCCATTATTGAGAGTGGTTATGTTACAAAAGGTACATGCCATAAATAAACCCTGTCTGTACCTGCAAGCTGGTTTGTACGGTGGCCCTGAAGTGCAAACTGCAACTACAAATCTAAAAGCGCAACTACATTAAGGAAATCGCAACTACATAAAGCAAAGCGCAACAACATTAAGAAAAAACAAAAACTACATAAAGCAAAGCGCAACTACATTAAGAAAAACAAAACTACATAAAGCAAAGCGCAACTACATTAAGAAAAAACAAAAACTACATAAAGCAAAGCGCAACTACAATAAGAAAAACAAAACTACATAAAGCAAAGCGCAACTACATTAAGAAAAACAAAACTACATAAAGCAAAGCACAACTACATTAAAAAAAACAAAACTACATAAAGCAAAGCGCAACTACATTAAGAAAAAACAAAAACTACATAAAGCAAAGCGCAACTACAATAAGAAAAACAAAACTACATAAAGCAAAGCGCAACTACATTAAGAAAAACAAAACTACATAAAGCAAAGCACAACTACATTAAAAAAAACAAAACTACATAAAGCAAAGCGCAACTACATTAAGAAAAACAAAACTACATAAAGCAAAGCACAACTACATTAAAAAAAAAAAACTACATAAAGCAAAGCGCAACTACATTAAGAAAAACAAAACTACATAAAGCAAAGCGCAACTACATTAAGAAAAACAAAACTACATAAAGCAAAGCGCAACTACATTAAGAAAAAACAAAAACTACATAAAGCAAAGCGCAACTACAATAAGAAAAACAAAACTACATAAAGCAAAGCGCAACTACATTAAGAAAAACAAAACTACATAAAGCAAAGCACAACTACATTAAAAAAAACAAAACTACATTAAGCAAAGCACAACTACATTAAGAAAAAAAAACTACATAAAGCAAAGCACAACTACATTAAGGAAAACACAATTACATTAACCTACCGGAAGTCATTCTGCCTGCTGCGGCTTTTGAAAACAGATATTGTCGGCGCCCCAAACATAGCTGCCGTTATCCAGGAATATTTTGAATCAGGACATACGTCCGAGGTGATACTGGATATGCTCAAGACTAATCACGAAATTTCAGTTAGTTTGCGTACACTGTGGACACACTTAAAAGAAGCTGGACCGTTCAGACAACGCAACTTCCGGTTCAGGGGTCAAACGGCGCCGTCGTCCAATCAGCGATGTCTCATGTTTCCCACTGGTAACTACCTTTTCCGGTAGGTTAATGTAATTGTGTTTTCCTTAATGTAGTTGCGCTTTGCTTTATGTAGTTTTGTTTTTCTTAATGTAGTTGCGCTTTGCTTTATGTAGTTGCGATTTCCTTAATGTAGTTGCGCTTTTAGATTTGTAGTTGCAGTTTGCACTTCAGGGCCACCGTAGATTTGTGCTTAAAATGTATATAGAAAATTATCTTTACAGTGCGTTTGTTATTTTTTTTCATTAGAAAGGCCATGCAAGAGGAAAGATTGTTTTACTGGCATGTTGGAGTTCGATTTACCCAAACTGGATCAATGCTAACACTTACAGTGTTGAGTAAAGAAGACAAAAAAAAAAAATTTCTCACTTAAAAGGAGCTTTTCTTCCAATTACATTTTATTAGGAGTAAATTATAAGCAGTCATCAAAAATGTATTTGGCAAAAATGCTATTTTATTGTGGAGTTACTGTTAAATTGTCTGATTTAAATTGTTTAATTTTTTATGTTATTTGCAAAATTCTGAATCTTGAAGTGCTAATATGGAAAATTGGTGGGTGGGGGTGGGGAATAACTACAGTTAATGAAACACATTTCTAGATGTAATATTTTTCACAACATCTGGGAAGCAAATATTTGCAGGATGTAATTTTAGAACAGCGTACCTCTAGAGATAATTACTTTTGTTTACTGTACATTCATTAGACCTCTTAGCAACACAGCAGGCTCATCTGATCAAATATAACATTATAATAATTATGCTTCTGTACAAACAAGTCTAACTTTAAAAGAAATTGTGTAGATATCTTTAAATGTTGAATTATTTGCTTTATGTTGTCTTATCAAGCTAAAAAAATAAGCTCATAATCTAGGTAACATTCATGATGTTTAAAATCTATCCATATCTTTATTGATATAATTTTATGACTAGATTAGAATCAACTTAATGGCCTTGTCTGTGTGCACAAACAAGGAATCTGACTTTCGCTTTCCACAGAGGAAATTAACATCAGTTAACTTGAGAAACTAAATTTAAACTGTATGTCAGAAAATGAACTTGACTTGTCTATAGTGAATTCAGTGTATTTGTTTGAAAGTAGATTTCACCAAATTGGAACTGTGTTTAATAAAGGGAAACTGAATTTTAACTGAATTAAATCATTTGAAACTGAATTCATTTACCTTGAAACTTTATTTTACTGCATCCTCCAAAGTATTGGAGCAGATTGTTGTGCATATAGTGAAGCTGTATGGCTGCATTACAACCTGGAGAAGTGGACCTAGCAGGAATTTGGCGGATGTCCTGCATCATGTCAAACGACCACCAGAAAAACTCTCACGATTGTAAATGTATTACATTCATAGCAAATGACAAGTAAACAAATGATAGGCTATCTGAAAAAAAAAATCTGCAGTCGTTTTTGGCATTTACTCAATCATATTTAGTTACTTTAACACAATATTTTTACGTCCTACCCTGCTAACATGAAACTATTCTGTTAAAGTAACTAAATATGATTAAGTAAATGCAAAAAAAACAGTTGCATTTTTTTTAGTAGCTTAATTAAATTTTATATTTTGTAATATATCAAAACTATTTATTTTCTAAGAATGTTATATTTGAGAGCAACTATGCAAAAAAAAAAAAAACATCCAGAAAAAGTAAACTATATTATATTATTTTCCATGTAAATCCGAGAGTGTTCATTCTTCTTTGCTTTTCTAAACAGTGCTTTAAATCAGTCCTACCTGTCTCAATCCATGCTGGGTCAGATCCTGATGTTTGAAAAAGGATGCAGGCAGTCAAGGCAGCAGAATAAAGCTTTAGCCTCGCTGCATGCAGTTACAAAAGCCTTGTAGCTAAACCAGGTCTTGGAAAAGAGTGTACCGTCTCCATCTGTATTTTGGACTGCTGATTAATTTTGATGTTCGGCAGATCAGGTCCAAACGATTTCACCTCCAGCTTCTCTTTGGTAAGTTTGTTTTAAGGGACCTCACTTCCATGACTCGGCCTGTCAATAACACGCACTACTACAACTGTGTTGTAGGGTGTAGCTTTGGTGCGCCCGAAGTTCTATTAATCAGTTTTGCAGAGGAGCTACTGCGCATGTACAACTTTTAAATGAGAATGGCCAAACATTTTTTCACCCTTGGACTGAAATTCGTCATCAATCCGACGAAAAATGAAATAACGCCTTACTGATCATTAAACATTAACTATTTATATTGCACATCTAAAAAAAAAATATATATATATCAATATATTTCAAAATATTTTTACTTTATAATAGAATTTTTATAATTTAATTGACATTTTTTTTTTATTTCTTAGCGCCAGATAAGGCCAGCCGCCACTGGTGCCAAGGTTGTTGTCTCTGCACCACGTGTTAAACTTCCTCTCTGGACATGAACTCCGTGATGTGTCCTCTTTTGTCTGGAAAATTCACTATAATGTATGCTTTAACGTAATCTTAATTTGCGTTCCCGAAGGAAATGAGTATAGATGTGAGTACTGGGGCAAGGCGGGAGATCTGAAGCTGAAACGTGAAACCTTTACTGTATATTACCTGTTCTACTGCAAAAGAAAAATTTTAAATAAAATTAGTTCAGTTTCAATTCATGAAATACAGTTTTTTATACAGTTTCATATTATTAAACATGGTCGAATTTTGTGAAATTTACTTTCAAAACCAATATTTAAAATTTTTCATATGCAGATTAATTTTGGGCAATTAAAATTAATTTTCTGATGGCACAAGTTTCTGCCCATAACAATGACCACAAAGACTCTAGTCTAGAGTAATACAGGACTTCCCATAGGCTTATTTCATCGGGATAAATTACATTTATTTACTTTCATCTTACAAATCATAAATATTTAACAGACATGTTGGTTAACAAGGTATACTGCTGCCTTATCTAGGTGCCTTTCTGATTCCCTACCTAATCCTGCTGGTGTTGGAAGGAATGCCTCTCTTACTGATGGAGTTTGCCATTGGCCAACGTCTGAGAAAAGGCAGCGTGGGGGTATGGAGATCCATCAGCCCCTATCTGACTGGAATTGGTAAGTACAAAAAGAAATCCAGTATATTAGAAATTAATAGAGTGACGCAGTGGGTAGCAGTGTTGACTTGCAGCAAGAAGGTTCTGAGTTTCATTCCTGGCCCGGGATCATTCTGCAGGGAGTTTGAATGTTCTCTCCGTGCATGTGTAGGTTCTCTCTGGTTACTCAGACTTCCTCCCACAGTCCAAAAACATGACTGTTAGGTTAATTAGCTTATGAAAATTGTCCTTAGGTGTGAGTGTGTGTGTGCATGGTTGTGTGTCTTTGTGTTGCCCTTTCACAGACTGGCAACCTGTCCTCTCGCCCATAGACTGCCAGTGGAAGGCACTGGCTGCCCTGACAAGGACTAAGCGGGAGAAGATGGATAGATAGATCTTAATATGTCTATTTCATTGTTTCACATCTAACATACGGTCTATTTTAAAGGTATTGCCTCCATGTTGGTGTCCTTTTTGGTTGGGTTGTACTACAACACCCTAATAGCCTGGATCCTGTGGTATCTCTTCAATTCTTTTCAAGAACCTCTGCCTTGGACTCAATGTCCAATCAATGAAAATAGGACAGGTATTTTACTACTAATTTTCAGCCAACACATGGCCACTTTACAGCCATATTTCATTGCTGATTACACTTCGATATATTTCTTTCCTATTCAGAATTTGTATCGGAATGCCAACGGAGCTCCACTGTGGATTATTTCTTTTACAGAGAGACTCTGAACAGTTCTGACTCAATATCCAAATCTGGGGAAATTCAGTAGCCTATGGTGGTTTGTCTGCTGGCAGCGTGGACAATAGTTGCCATCTGCTGCATAAGAGGAATAAGCACTTCAGGAAAGGTTGGTTATTAATTGATTGATGATGGTAAATAATTTAACCCTAAATTTGTTAGTCAGAAAATAAAAATGACCAGTGGAGTAAAAAGGAATCAAGTTGTTTGTTTCCTCACAATACTTTGGAAACATAACTAGGAAGGTAAAAAATATAAACTGTTTTATTTCAGATATTCATGTTATTGTCTGCATATTGTAAATCAACACCTTTTAATTAACATAAACAATTTCATGTTTTAAAAGAGTTCCAATTAATATGCTTTATTTTTTAAATATACAGAGGACGATCTTTTATTTCCTGGTGGATCATCTAAATAAGTGGTCCTCCTAATTTTAAATTAGGAGGATTTAATTTGGTGATTATGTTTACGTAAGGTCATCCTACATAGTTTCCCTGTTAGCTATCTTTTTGTGTACATGAGCACTTTCAGCAACATATGTTTTGTGAGCTACGGTTTCAGACAGTTACTGAAGCTCATCTTTCTCACGCCGGTTCTTAGAAAATGGCAGAGGGTTGTAAGAGAAAAAGTGTCTAAAAAGTATATGAGGAGAAAAGAAAGGCCTCAAAAGAGGTAGATATATCCCAGAATGCTTTTCACGGAGAGCTCTCCTCGCAAGTCCCCGCCCCCTCCGCAGACACTCCGCTGCACCTCTCCCAAATTGTAGCTGACCGCAGACAGGAGGCCGACTTGTTTTGTTTTTATGACCGAAATTGCGAAAAACAACTCGTGAAGTTGGACCAGCTAGAAGAGCGAGGTGTGCGAGAATGCTGGGACCCTTCTTCCACCTGGAAACCCGCTCTTTTTCGCCGTCATGTCCCTCGATTGTCGGACAAACTCGCCCCCACTTCTTCACCGCTTCGGCCGTATCTAGACCCAAAGCTCACTGTGACACACTGCTGCGGGGAGTATAACCAGGCCTATAGGCTGTATATATGTAAAATGTATAATAATAAAGAGGAGTTACGTGACCAACAGAGCAAAAAGCAGTGATCATCTGTCTGATTGGTCAGTTAACTGAGTTTGCTATAAAGTCCACTAAATAGTCCCCACTGTATGTGGACACAGTAAGCTTGTATGAGCTATGAGAACAGCACATTTTAAACAGGGCGTGCATGAGGAGAAATGGGCGTCTGTGCATGAACATTTCTTTTTTAAGTGGAGAGGGCGGTTCTTTTAAAGAATCCTCCACAATACCTTTAATACCAATCCAATTCATTAGAGACTAGGAAGTAGCTGTCAAAATTTATCAACTTTATCACAGGATGAGAGATGAATGTATTAAAACCAAAAATGGCAGGAAAATCTTTTATAAAAGTGTTTTTAATGCATTAAAATGATAATTTTCTCCTGCAGGTATAGAAGCTTTCATACTTACACGTATTGGGCCAGCCACGCCTACTACTATCTTACTTTTTCTCTTAATTTCCTTAGGCCGTTTACATCACAGCAATCCTTCCCTATGTTGTGCTGGCGATCTTCCTAATCCGAGGAGCAACTCTGAAAGGTGCCGTGAGCGGAATCAAATTCCTCTTCACACCAGACGTGCGTTTTGTAAAATTTTATAACCGAGAAAAAAAAGATGTTGTGATTTCATATTTTAAAGGAACATCGCTCTGTACTGTGTGTCACCTTCTTGAAGGTGGATGAGTTGATTAAACCGATTACTTGGCTGGATGCAGGAGCTCAGGTGTTTTACGCCTTTGGCTTGGCATGGGGAGGCCTCATTTCCTTTTCAAGCTACAACCCTGTTCAGTAAGAGATGCACATTTTATATTTGAGGAATTTTATATTCTAAAGGAAGTGTAATTCCAAACTTTTTTTGTTTGTTTGTTTACATTTCTTTTTCACAGTAACAACTGCGTGCAAGATGCCGTGATCCTCTCTGTTGTAACTGGGCTCACATCAATTTATGCTGCCTTGGTGACCTACTCCATCATTGGCTTCAGAGCCACAGAGAAATACGAAAACTGTATCTCTGAGTGAGTACTTCCAATCTTTTTGCATATTATAGGAAAAAGACCACTGGTGTCTGTTGAAGTTGTATAAAATATTCTTATTTTTAATTCTTAGAAACATTGTGAGATTATTGAACACATTTAATCTTCCTGAGGACAACATCACATCAACCAGCTATGATGAAGCCTTTAATCAGCTGAACAGCTCCTATCCTCATGTCATTTCTCTACTTGACATCCAAACTTGTGATATGCAGAAACTTCTCAGTGAGGTAAGTATTATAGATGCATAATATTATCAGAGGACTGAAACATATAATATCCTAAAATCTGATCTTGTCCTGGTCAGGACATACACCCAATGCAAACATTTTGTGCTAAAATTCAATCCTATGCTCTGTGGAGAATGAACTAAAGGATGGATATTTAAAGAAATCTTTTTCTAATTGTTCCAATGATGTTTTTAAAAGCAGCACTGAAGGAAACACAATAGAGTTTAAATCTATTTCATACCCAAGTGGTTTTCAAAGCATCCTAAACTACTTTTTGTGTATGACAACTGGTCGCTTGCTTCATGTGGTCAGTTTGTCTTTTCAGTCTCCTGTGGATGTTTGTTACCTGTTATTAGTTTTCTAATGTCAGTGGTGCCCAAGTGCAGTCCTGTACCACTTGGGTTTTTCCTGTGAGTTTTATAATTATGTGTGAAATCATAATTCTAATATTCCAACACTTCGCTTTACAAAGTGTTGGCATATTAGTGTATTCTTATGCGTTTGACTTATTGCTTCTTTCTGATGATCTGGTTATGCATTATATATAATTCTCTTATAAAGATGCAATTCTCTTTGGGTTTTAGTTTAGCTGCCTCTATTTCCTGTATTTATTAGTCTCCTTCTCTCAGTTCCCCTACTCAGATACTTCCCTCAGCTGTTCAGCATTTCACTGCCTAGACTCACGTTGTTGTCCCCATTTCTAATCACAACTAGAGTGCGAAATACAGGGGGACCCCCTGAAAGCCTCAAAAGCAAAATTTAAAGGGGGTCTTAAATTGTGTAAAAAATAAAAAAAAATAATAAAAAAATTTTTTGTCATCAATGGTTACTAAAATGTTGTCCAGTCCAGTATTTAAAATTCAAAACATTTATTCACAAATATGTTCTGTTTTTTGCCAAGTGGAGCCAGCCAATCTTGTTTGCGTATGCAAATTAAACATGTTTACGCCAAACAGAAGAAAGACGTAACGTTGACAACGTTAGAAAAATAATGGAGATGGCAGGTATTTTGCACACTGATCACAACTAATCTGTGTTAAAGCTCCCTGGTTTTTAATGATTCTGGATGGGTTCTTCTGTCATGGGTTGTGAGGTTGCAAGAACCCAGGAACAGCATGGCCAATAGAAGCATTTGATTAGAACAATAGACACAATTAGAACGGGACGAGGAACAATCTAGGATACAGTGGAGGAACCTAGCAAGGAACAATGAAAACCACTAAGCTTAAACATACAGAAACTAGTCCCATTAGGAGAGTGGTAAAAAGATTAAGAAGAGCACTGAGTGTTTTAACGATGGAAGGAGACTAATTAATACAAGGAACAAGAGGAAGCTGAAGAAAATCATGGGTTTAGTACAACATGGAATAATAAACTTAAATACACAGTCACACCAGGAAGAAGCTTGACAAAGGAATCAACCATTATTACTGATCCAATATCTTCTGGTTTAGAAAATGATCAGGGATCATTCAAAAACCTCTGATCAGATCATATTTAATGAAAATCCTAATGTGTGCTTGGTTGCTCAGGGAGTGGAAGGAACAGGTCTGGCCTTTATCGTCTTTACAGAAGCCATTACCAAGATGCCAGGCTCCCCGATCTGGTCAGTCCTCTTTTTCATCATGCTCCTCTGTCTGGGACTTTCTACTCTGTTTGGCAACATTGAAGGAGTGGTAGTCCCGTTAAAAGACTTACGATTATTTCCTAAAAAATGGCCCCACGAAGTACTGACCGGTAACCTGACTTTTAAGAAACATTCCTACTGTTCTTCTTTGAATTCATGTTTGACAGCACCTCTATTTTCTTCTCCATATCTGTTCCAGGGCTGACGTGTTTGATTTCCTTCATCATCTACCTGCTCTTTGCGCAGCGTTCAGGTCTTTACTGGGTCACTTTGTTTGATAATTTTGCCGGATCAGTCCCCCTACTTACCATTGGATTTTTTGAGATGATAGCTGTTGTTTACATTTACGGCATAGACAGGTAAGTAATCTTTCCCAAATTGTCATTTGATACACAGGTAATCATATTACATGATATATTTTAAAATTCTTTTTTATAACAGGTTCAATAAAGACATAGAGTTCATGGTTGGTCATAAGCCATCAATCTTCTGGCAGGTCACATGGAGAGTCATCAGTCCTCTGATCGTCTTGGTCATCCTGATTTTCTATCTGGTGACTCAAGCACAACAGAAGCTCACCTATTTGGTCTGGGACCCCAACTCTGTAAGATATTAAACTTTGAGACCACTTTATATGTCATTTTAACCCCAATTAATTTAATTGGATTGTTAAAAGGTTGGAGAATCAAGGAGATACCTCCATTAGGATGCAATAAACACTGACAGCTTTACAGATTTACTCCTTCTCAAATACTGCTATTTACTCTTGCAAGGTACAATTGATTCAATCTTGTGAAAACTTCTTTACACGAACAAACATGTAATTTGTTGTCTCCTCAAAATTAACAGATTTTTTTAGATTGTATAAATAAATTGTCTCTGCTGTTAGTAGTTGTTAGCTTTAACTCTAAAACAAAGCAAAAAAATCCTTGAAACTCCAAGCTGAGTAATCTGTAATTAAGATAAAAGATATTTAAGATATAAGCAGCTAAACGCTACCCTTTTAACTACTGTATGCATTAAAATAAATTTTAAAAATGAACCGTTTCTTGGTTAGACAATGCATGACTTCACATCCTCTCATTTGGAAAAAGCTACAGTACAAGACAACAGTTAAAAGTGCTAAACAAAAAATGCTTTACATGAGTTGCCTTTGAATGTTCTCTTCCAGATGTTAAAAAAACACTATTAGTTTATGTTTCTGATGCATTTCAGTATAACAGAAAAAATTCTAATAATAAAAGTTGAGTCTATTGCCAGAATTTCCCCATTGTGACAATGAATGGATTTTCTATTCTATTCTATTGGACAGCTTTTTATTATCATTACTTTATGTTTATTTTCTAGCGTTCAGTACCTACCCCTATAAAGCTTTGCCATGTTTTGCTCATGTACAGCACTTTGAATCATCCTGAGAAGATAAACTTGTTCTTTGTTGCCTTGGTTACAGGACATGTTTCCAGCTCTGGCATCAGTGGAATACCCTTCATGGATCAATGCAGCCATCTTCGCTTTGGCTGGAGTCCCCAGCCTGGCTGTGCCTATCTATGCTCTATGCAGACTGATCTATGTTTCATGCGGAAAAAATAACTAGTTTCATATAAAGTTAGTTCTTTTTTTTTCATTAGAATGATAATATTCAGTAGGATATTTATATTCGATTGCTGTTTACTGTAAATTATACTAATAGTACATAAAATAAGCCAAAAAGTAATGCTACCCTTATATTGACAGAACATGAGCAGTGATGTAATAGTGATTACTATGTTTTTATTTAATTTTATTTTTTTAAGGGGGTGGGGGGTGGGGGGGTGCAATAAATTCCTTGACTTTTAAAAAAAGGCATCCCTAAAGTTACACATCAGAATGTTTACAATGTTTGTTTCTCTGATCTTGTGTAAAATATTTTGGGTATGATGCAATTGCTACTAAGGATGGTGATTCTCTCATTAGTTATTTTCATTCTTTCATTTTGAGATGCTGAGGATCAGAAACAAAGAAAAAAAAATATGATGTTGAGTATTTTTTTACAAGCAGCATATTAATGTAAAAGGATAGGAAAAGGGCTCGTGCACATTTGCTTTCAGCAGCTATTTGCACACCTGGAGACTGAAACATTTGTTATTATTTTTATAGTCACAAAAATCCCTTACAATAATACTTTAAGTTTTCCAACATATTCTTTCCTAGTTTTTGCTTTGGACTTTGACTGAGCCTGTTTTAATCAGATGAAAATATAGGATGTAAGTACAATAGCTGATAAGGAAAAAAACCCAAAACACTATTTAAATGAACAAACTATCACTTTCAATGAGGTAAATCATGGTAATTATTCCATGCATTTAAAATAGAGGCTAGATCCACCTAGAATAGAATTCAACTTTATTGTCATTAAACTGTTACAAGTGCAAAGCAACTAAATTCCCCCTCTGCATTTAACTCATCCCTTTGGGGAGCAGTGGGCTGCCATTGTGCGGCACCTGGGGAGCAGTGTGGGGGTAATGGTCTTGCTCAGGGATCCAGAGTGGCAGTCTGTGGGAGTGGGGTTTGAACTCAGAACCGAAATGCCCCAGCCACTAGGCCGCCACTTCCCTATATCCACAATTATCATCAATTTGTATTCTATACAACTACAGAATCCTTTATTACTGTGTAAAATTTTATTATGACTTTAAGAACTGTGCCAACTCAAAATATTGGACCTTAGCTTAGGTTTAATACGGGGACTTAAATCACCAGCCCTCCTCACAGGCATTATACACATGACAGAAGTCCAATAAAAACTGGATTGTTTAAAGATAAAGATGAATACATTTCTGTAATCGCATATAAATGTCAACATTTTAATTACACCAAAAACAAACACTAAAAATGTTTATTCTTCCTCCCACTCTATTGGTAGGCTGTAAAGTTGAGATGCTTGTGTACAAGCACTTCTTAACTAGGCTCCACAACTGTATAACCTGTTAGAATGGGAGGGAATAAAGTATTTATATGGACAGAGGAGAAGATTCACCTTTTTTTTTTTTTTAGGAGACTTTGCAATCACAGGAAATTAATCCACACTAATCCAAACGTAACGTAACAGTGAGAAATAATACTCACTGTTAAAGCTTGCATAATAGTAATGAAAACTGAGGCTCTTTTCAGTGTGTTTAACCTTTAGAATCAGTTCATTTATATGATTCATTCACCTAAACATTGAGTCCATGCAGTTCATTCATGCTACTGAATGTCACAGTCTCACTTCCAGCAAAGTACTAGTTGGTGAACAAGTATTGGTAGTCGGGGGTTTTTGTCTGCAGGAGAGTGAAAACCAGAGGCAGGATCAACTTGAGCTTTGATTTATAAATAGACTTTTACTTTTATGCATATGAACAAACAGACATAGATCTAGAAGATTATCAAGAGTTGTAGTCAACGAAAAAGGACAGTTTCTAGCTACCAATATCTGTTTCAAACCTATGAAGAAAACTAATTAAGTTAGAGAACAAAAGGAGGACGTGTAAAAAGCCCTGCTTTCAGCACTTTACTTCTGACATAACTGCTCATATAATCATTTTCTTAGCATTTTATTACCATTTTTATGAGTGTTAAAGCAACAGATCAGACATAATTATACCATTACTGCAGTTAAACTTCCCCAGCTGAGTTCCAGCTACATTATTGAGATCCCTGGTAAAGGTAAAAAAACCTCCAGAAAAAAGTTAGTAAAAAAAATGTGGGGAAATAGTCTATGTTTTGAAGTAAATGCTCAAGAATGATTATTTAATAATAAATACAACTGAAGAATTCATTAATATATTTTTACAATTTACATTTACAATGAACTTCTAAATTGTAAACAATGTTTTTTTTTTCTTGGTATATAAAAAATTAAGAAAAACAACTGAACAGCTCAATGTAATAAAGAAAATCACACTTCAGTAAAGACAACCTGTGAAAATCAGAGGCAAAGGAAAGATGGCAGTCATTAAGAAGTGGTGGTGAACACAGATGATTTCTCTGCTCTCATCTTTCCTCCCTGATGTTTTACTAATTTTTCCATTTTGTCAGAGCTCTGACCAACAATGCACAGCGCGATTGGCCTTTTCCAAAGAACACTAAGTTTGGAAGCCCTATGGCAGATACAGTCAAGCCTGCAGACACTTTGGAGAATGTTATTCTACCTGTAAGATCATCTTACATGACCATTTTGACAGTGGCTAAGCAAAGGTCCATATGCTATAGGTACCCTGCCTATTGTCAGGTATCAGGGTTAGAATCTCAGACCCAATGTAAGCCCATATGCTTTTGCCGTGGACTCTGGGTTCTTTCTTTTGCTTAAAAATGCTAGGTATCATCTGACTGAAGTGGGTCATCATTTCCTGCATGATGAAGGCCTTGATGCTAGGAACTGGTCTTCCTGTTTCCTTGACCTGAACCTACTGTTCCTACAGTATACTTTCTAAGGATTTTCCTGTACCAAGTTCCTCAAATTTAAGGACTGTTTTTTTGCACCCACTGATTATTTTGTAATAAATTAGTTTAAGGCACTGAATATTTAATTTAAAGAACTTAATGGCAATGATGATACGAGATCAGAATGAAGGGCACATGACCCATCTATGAGGGCCTTAGTCCTTGACCTGGCCGACCTGAATTGGTATCAGACCTTTGCCAGTACAGAAAATGAGTCACTATTGATGTAAAAAAAAAAAAAAAAAATGGACAATCAGAATCAATGAAAAATGAGATTGAACTTATAGCCTACATTCAGATTAATAGTATTCTTTTGCTGCAATGTTGCTTTTTTTAACCCTCATATAGGCTTTTGATGCTTACTGAGGCCATCTAGTGGTGAATAAATAAAAGAAATATGCTCTACCCATCTTACATGTATAAAATAAGGGATATGAAAATAATTGTCCAAACACATTATCACACTGACTTGCAGCCTCCTCATGTGAGGTATAGTCTTAGTGAAAATCTAACCAAATTGTTCTTGAGTACCTTACAATTTCCTCTTCTTGGAAACTCACTTTAAGAGCACTTCATAGGTGTCACTCCACAGCCAAAGAAAAAAAAAAAAAACATGACAGCTGACAGAAACTAGGAGCCCGGATCACAAAGCAGATTCAACAAACTCAGACTCAAATCCTTAAAATGAAATGAAAAAATGTAACTAGCCTGAAGTTGAAAACTGAGTTTTTGTGTCATGATCTTGGCAGTGATGACCATCTAACCACTTTTTTTCTACTTATGTTTTTTGGCATTCTGTAGTGTACATCACAGTAACCCTTCCTTGCGTTATGTTTGCAATCTCCTTGTCAAAGCCATGACCCTTATAAGGAGCCCTGAGTGGGATTCAGTGCCTTTTCACCTCCTGATTTGCATCTTCATTGGTATTTTTTTTATTCCCCCCAAATTAAACAAAAATGACAAACCCAAATCACTTTATGTATTTGTATCGCAGCTAAACAAGCTGATCAAATTGTATCACACCTAAACATGCTGATCAAGCCAACAACCAGGTTGGATTCAGGTGCATAAATAACATTTAAGAAGTAGTGATCCCACAGTAAGATCTGGATGATTTCCCCCCATAAGCACCAACCAGTAAACTGTTATATTTTTAGCTCTTGGTTGCTGATCTCCTCTTTTTATTTTCACCTACAAGACTTCATGAAAAAATCCATTATTGGCTTCATCATCTGCCTTCTATTGGAACAACCCTTTAATAGATAACTATTTGACAAGTATGACTAATATGACAACTAGGACTGTTAGCCAAATCTCTTTTTTATGGCAGGTTCAATAAAGACATCAGGTTTATGATCCAACAAGTCAAGCATCTTCTTTAAGGTTTCAAAGAGGTTTATCACTCCCTTAATCATCATGCCAACTTTAATTTTCTATCTGGTTACTCAAGATGAAGAAGAGCTCACTTATATATTCTGGGACATAAACTCTGAAGCATGTTCTTAGGCAGTGCTAAATGTCCAAACTTAGATTTAGATTTTTTGAATGGCAGTTATGCATCTTCTATTACTGAGAGGATTTTAAGACTCAGATATCGGTACTGTACCTTCTATGGGTCTATGCTGTCATTTTTTTGCTGGTGCTGATCATCAGCCTGTGTACCATCATCTGTTTCTACTAAAACATGTTTGTCTTATTGAATGAAAGAATAACAGTGTTGTGTTAATAAATAAAATTATATTTTTCAAATATGTATTGCATTACTAGTTTTCTGCCAATTTTGGCAAAATAAATAAAAAATCTTTAAATTCAAGAATGCTGAAACACAGATAAAGTTGACTAGCAAATAGACCAGTAGAGGGCAATCTTACATCAACAAAACAGAGTGGGCCGCACACTTCCCTCTTACTTTAATTAAAATACAATAATGGTTACATTTGCTTCACCTAAACCCTATGAGATCTGATGCATTGATTTTAAAAATGTTAAGATGTCCCTGGTAAAAATGGTAAGATGTTGAATTTGGAAAATGAGGTACATTGAAAGCAATGTATCAAAGTCTGTGTTAAGCTCTGATTGCTCCTTTGTACCTGCAGGCTTTTGGCATTCCTTCAGTTACTTCTGTCAAATGTTGCACTCACATGCACCTAAAGAAACGTTGTGTTTTGTACTTTTTGTACTCAGTGTAAGCAAGACTCCCTACTCCTTATCCTCCCTGCAACTTGAAAAAAGGTTGTTCCTGAGCAGCGTGGTTAAGCTAAGCAAAACTCACCCTCATAAAGCTTACAAATAAAGATTAAATACTGGATTACATAGAATTCTAATGACAACATAACAGACATTTTTTTGTATCACCTAAATGTAAATTTCCCCATGTTGTTTAGCATCCTCTTCATGATTACATGTCAAGATAAACTCAGGTCACTTACTTGTTATGGTCCAGTTGTTCTAAACTTTTTAACCATGCTTAGACTGTTGATGTAGGCAAGTTTATGTCATGATCCCATGGACTTTGAGTTGTCTCTTTCTGTATTGTTGTCCTAGTCACGTTTGGTTAGTCATACCATGTGTTTTTGCCGCTTCCCCCCAGTGTTTCCTGGGAGTGTTTACATTTTAATCCTCATCCCTTAGCTGCTCATAGACCTGCTCTGCGAACAGCTGTTACTCATTCAGTTAATTCAACACCCCTGTTCCTCGTTCCGGTAA